ATTTTTTTCTTTTCAATCTTTCTAAATTTTTTTTCTTTTTTTTTAATTAACCTATATCACCCACCCTTTGAAAAAAAAATCTCAAACTTATGTCTGCAAGTGCAGATGTGTGTCCGCCACTGGTACCACCATTAGCCTTGTCTTGCCTCAATTGCAAAGCATTTTGCATCCATCATTACTATACGATGGGAGCAGTGAAAGGGAAGGAGAATCCCCTATGATGAAACTCTATTGCTAAACATAATTTGCCTTCTAGAAAATTCTAGATGTATGACATTGGGCCCAAAGGGGCAAGCGAGAACAAAAGTTTAGTTAGATGACTATTATAAATATATATATATATATATATATATATATATATGAGTTTAGTGTGTGTCATTCAAAAGCATACAAGTTGTGTCCTTCTAGTGATTTACACAGAGTACGACCGGTCGTACTCTGTGTAATTCTGAAAAGTTACTTTTTTTCACTTTACACGTCAGCGATGTGACTAGAGAGAGAAAAAAAAGCAACTTTTCAGTTTTACACAAAGTACGACCGGTCGTATTTTGTGTAAAACACCTAAAATGACACAAGCTTGTGTCATTTAAATGGATACTTCTTTTTCCCTATATATATATTGTTGAGATATATAGTCTCACATTGATTGTGTGGGCAACTAATGTGGCCTTTATAAGGCCTTGAGCACTCCCACCCTTTGAGCTAGCTTTTGGGGTGGTGTATCCCAAGGTTCTTTACATGGTATCAGAGCCTTGTTGTCCCCCACTTTCTCTTGTGGAGTTTCTTAGCACAGGTAGGCTGGGCCTGTTGCATTGTCCACTCTTCAAGCCCAACGGGCTCTTGTGTGAGGGGGCGTGTTGAGATATATAGTCCCACATTGATTGTGTGGGCAACTAATGTGGTCTTTATAAGGCCTTGAGCACTCTCACCCTTTGAGCTAGCTTTTGGGGTCTCTTGTGTGAGGGGGCGTGTTGAGATATATAGTCCCACATTGATTGTGTGGGCAACTAATGTGGTCTTTATAAGGCCTTGAGCACTCTCACCCTTTGAGCTAGCTTTTGGGGTGATGTATCTCATGGTTCTTTACATATATATATATATATATATATATATATATATATATATATATATATATAGTGTTTGTCATTTTAAATGACATAAGGTTATGTCATTTTAAGAGAGAGACAGACACATAATTTTTTTTTATTTAAATTTTAAATTAAAAAAAATCAATCACTTTTCTCCTATGATTTCCGTTTTTTTGTGTCTATCTCTCTCCTAAAATGACATAATTCATGTCATTTAAAATGAAAAACATCAAACTCTCTATATATATATATATATATATATATATATATATATATATATATATATATGGGATAGGATATTCTTACACCGGTGTAAGAATTAAAAATCTTACACTCAATCTTGAACATTGATCCACTTGTATCCAATGGCTCACATTACTAAAAAATTTGAACCCTTAGATATAAGTGGGATCAACGGACAAAATTGAGAGTGTAACTTACACTGATGTAAAATGATCCTGACCCTATATATATATATATATGTATATATATATTTGAGAAATCATTTACCTTGTTATTTGGACAAGAAATTCTATAGGGGTGTGTTTGATACAAGGGTATCACAAGGATTATTGGTAAACCTTCTTTGGTAATCATCAATTATCATGTTTGGTAGAAGTATTAAAAATCAATCCCCGGATATTCAAGGTTTACCGGTAAAATATTTTACAAAGAAAAGTTACTGTTAGGATTACCAAAAATTAAGTAGTTTTCATGATTACTGGGGGAAGGAAAAGCATATCAACATATTTTTTAGACAATAATACCCCAAACACACATCAATACCCGTTGAAGAATATGCTTTGAAAAGTTAAGGTTAGTTTTGTAAAATCATCATATATTACCGGTAATATTTTACTAACAACCAAACATATACTCAGTAAAATTATTAAATATTCCCAGTAATATTTACATCTACCAAACAACTTTTTTATATCATTCCCAGTAAATTGGATTTCTTTCTATATTACTGGAAATCATGATTCCCGAACACAAAAAAATTTCTCTTGTACCAAACACACCCTAGGTGTAAAAATCAGAAACGTAGAAACACAGGATTTATTCCATTAAACTTATTTAAAATTTTAAAATATCATTAAAAAACTTCTTTAGGTAATTTCATATATTATTCAAATACTTTGTGATAGTCATTTCCAAGAGTTTTCTTACGAAAACATGCCATGGGAGTAAGTGGCATGTTTGGAATCCTAGATTAACAGAGAGGCTAAATAGAAGATTACCTCTAAAACAATTTTTATTATTGATGGGTGATTAATCAACTAATTACTTTGGAGCGCGAGATGATTTATTTACCAAAGGAATGACTAACAAATAAAAAAAATAGTCAAATAAAAAATCGAACCCATGCCATACGTACTAGGGGAGCTAACTCCATTTGCTATTTTGAGTTGTAACTAATAGTTCTTCTACCTTTGTTTGGATTCTTTTGTTTTGATTCATATATGGCAATAAATCTTTTTCTAATATGAATAATGCAATCCCACCATGGCCAGTTTGACACTGATGAATCAATTATCAATCAAATCATTCTATTAACATGTAACTGTTGGAAAGATACAAATAACAATATAATATCTTACAGAGGCAAAACGTACAGAGAAGGGGGAGGTGGTGAGCCAACTCTTGTGCCTACAGCTAGCTATACCATTTAGATCAGACATCATGAAGAAGGTAAAGATGAGGATGATGAAAGGACTCAAATTAAGATTAAAAAATGTTATCATGATGATCAGAGCTTTATATGGAAATCTGGGTATGATCTTTTTTACCCGCTGAGGCAAGACCTGGCCTCATAGACCTGGCTTTTTATGAGCATAAGCATGTCAGCATTTCCTTAAAATGTGTTAAGCACCTGAACATTTCAGACTTGAATAGTACCTTGTTGGTGAAACGTCTCTACTACATGGCTCTCGTAATTTTCCTATACAACTATTTTTATCACACACCTTTTTTTAACACTTCTCTCACATAAGTATTGGATTTATGTATTTTTTTTTAGCATAAATTCATATGTAATTTTATATCTCCCTCCAAATACATTAACATATTTTTGTCTTATGCACTATTCTTCACATTGCGAAGATAAAAAATAATAGTTTTGTTGATTTGTACTTAAACTATTGGCTAAACAATAAATAATTATATTATATATCATAAAAAATCTAAATAATATTCAATTACATGACATTCTCATTTCTCAGTCACATGTTTGAGCCATTATTATCATAGACCAATTTGGGCATCTATACTGAAGGCCAAATGGGAACATTGATGTTCACTTTCATATCAGGTCGAATCACACGTGCCGTTCAGATCATTGCCAAATGGCATAAATGGAGTTTCAAATGAATGCTTGAGCTTGACTTCTCTTACAACAATTGAATCAATTGCCATTTGTTTTGGTAGCTCAAATCTACTTCTTTGAAAGACGGTTTGATCTTTAATGTATGAGTTCCAATAAATGGACGGGTGCGAGGAATATACATAGACTATGGCTTTTGTGTCATTAAGACATGTCCAAATTGGCAAATTTCAAGAATAACTTGTCTAAAAATCTTTAGTGCCATTGAGGCTCTTACAAGATGAATAAATTTTTAATGCATTAAATGTATCAAAAATTTAGTGTATTTGTCTAATTATTTTATGATACGTTGATAAAAAATATTCATCATTTTTTTTTTCAAATAATGTGATATTTTTTTGTCTACATATTATAAAATAAATAAACAGATATACTAAATTTAATGTATTTAATTCACTAAAAATTTATTATGATGAGATAAGTTGATAACTATCCTCGTGAATAACAATTAACATTAAAAGTTTTTTAATATATAGTTTTCTTTAATCTGAATAAAAGGGATTAGTAACGTTGGTGGTGGGTCAATTTCTACAATGTTTGGTTCGGGCGTTTCCTAGGGATCGATGTGAGATTAAAAAAGAAAAAGACAAAATCATATACCCAACCAATTGCCGTTATTCTATTCTATTGTATTCAATGACTGAAAATCAAATTAATAATTGTTGTTAGGGTAATTAATGAAATGCAGAGTTGGAATGACCAATCCACCCTTTCCCTAAAGAAGGACTGGTCTATGTCCTGATTCTCTGAACATCACAATTTCCCACACCATTAATATCAATCGCCAACGAAATGGAGCCCACTACGAACGAACCAGATCATAGGTATCAAAGTTGGCTCAGCTACTTAATGCTGCATCACAGTACATACAGGCTACAGCTCATTGAAACTCATCAGTAATTCATTATTCATTCAGGTTTCAATCAATCAAAGAATTATAAAATTTGAAATAATAAATAAATAAGAGAGAATCAAAATTCTTGACGTGGATTTTTGCTTTGTGGGGGAAAAGGAAAACAGAAGAAGATTAAGGCGAAAGGGATGAATCAGAGTAACTACGAATTACATTCCAAAAGAAAAAAAAAAAAAGAGTAACTATGTATTAAGGTCTGTACGTTCAAAAGCCAGAGATGGAGACGTTTCTCAACTTCACACTGTTGCATGGGTCGGTGACCATAGCGTGGGAATGGGACAGTGATGCACGATTCCAAGGCAAACAAGGTTGGGGGGCGTTGACTTGTTCTGTAGTTTAGCAACCTACACTTGCCAGTTACCATGCTAATCCCAAGGCACCCATTTTCACTTTACCCGGATAATAATATTCCCAACTATGGGAAAAGCTCGTGTTTTTCTAGGTTTTAACATGGTTATGATATTATTATACACCCTTTGAGAGAGAGAGAGAGAGAGTGCTCAATTCGGAAGCAACACCTAAGGCTTTTCCATTGGGGGGTTCTGTTTTGGGGTTATTGAAACAGAAATATAGAAATTAGAAAATACACCTAGGCCTTAAGACATAGATAAATAGATGGTAGGGAATGGAAATAGAAAGAAGGAAAAGAGGAACATGAAAAGGGTCTCTGAATCTAATCCATTTCTTCTTCTGCCTTTCTAATCAACTTCCATGCTCCAAAGCTTTTCTTCCCCTGCAACTGCAATATATACTATCGATCAACCATCACCTAAATTCCTCTGAAACTAAATAAGAGAACACCCCTTTACGGAGGAGAAATACAGAGAGAGAGAGAGAGAGAGAGAGAGATTTGGAGTGTGAGAATGGTTACTGGGTGGAGAAGAGCGTTCTGTACATCCATCCCCAAGGACAGAGAGCCCAAAGTGTTAACAGAGAAACAACATCATTGTGACAACAGTAGCAATCAAAGTCCCAAAATCAGTTCCAAGTTTGGATTTTTATCCAACCCATCAACGCCCCGGTGTCAGTCTCAGCCGGTATCAGGCCCCAGCCTCCGGTGCCGAACTTCGGTGGCCACTGGTTCAGTCCCCAACAGCCCAAAACTCCAATGCACCAGTCAGCCCAAAACTCCAAGGTTGTTCCAACTCTCCAATCCCTCTTCACCCAAGTCACCATCAAGCTTCTCGCTTCTCAAAGCCACCTTGCGCCTATCCAAAGTAAGTTAAAGAAAAAAAAAACAATAAAAACGAAATCATGCTATGCCTTTTTATCACAGCCAAATGGTCAATAATTCTTTCATTTTTTTATTTTTTTTGTTAACTTTTCTTGTATTGTTTTGTGCAGAGTCGATGCGGAATCTGTATGCAGAGTGTGAAGAGTGGTCAAGGAACTGCAATCTTCACAGCTGAATGCTCTCACACGTTTCACTTCCCTTGCATAGTGAAGAAGCACCCAATCCTCACGTGCCCCGTGTGCGGCACCACCTGGAAGGAACTACCGGTGTTGGCTATCCACAACGACAAGCAGATTAAGAAACCCACTGAGGGAAACAGAGAAACGAGGTCGTTTAAGGTCTACAACGACGACGAGCCCCTCCTCTCTCCCACATCCCTAGCTCGATTCAACCCCATTCCAGAATCAGAAAACGAAGATGAAGAAGATAACACTGAGTTCCAAGGGTTCAACGTCAATCCAGTTGCTACTTTATCATCGTCGCCGGCAATTACCAGCAACCTTGAGTTATGCTTGTTGCCGGAGACATCCATTGTCGCCGCCAACAGGAACTACGAGACCTACGTTGTCGTCTTGCAGTTGAAGCCATCGCCGTCTCATAGGGCGGCGCGTCGGGCTCCAATTGACCTCGTGACGGTTCTCGATGTCGGCGGAGCCATGTCCGGCCAAAAGCTCCGCCTGATGAAAAACTCCATGCGACTAGTGATATCTTCCCTTGGTCCCAACGATCGTCTTTCCATTGTTGCTTTCTCCGCGGGATCCAAGAGGCTGTTGCCGTTGCGGAGGATGACCGGCGGCGGCCAGAGGTCTGCGCGACGGATCGTGGACGCGCTTGCCGCGATTGACCAGGTCCGAGAAGGTGCTCTTGTGAAGAACGATGCTCTGAAGAAGGCAGCGAAGGTACTCGAGGATCGCAGGGAGAAGAACTCCGTCGCCACCATTATTGTCCTTTCGGATATTAACCACTCACGCGCTGCCGCGTCCAGCCAGAAACCCTCCCTGATGTCCACCACGCGCCTCTGTCCGTTGGAGATACCAGTCCACACGGTGCGTTTCCCAAACGAAGGCGATTGTACTCACGCGCTTCCCGACGACGTGCTCGCGAAATGCATGGGCGGTTTGTTAAAAGTGGTGGCTCAAGACGTTAGGATTCAGTTAGGAGTGGTGTCACGCTCGCGCCCTGTGGAGATTGCCGCAGTGTACTCTCTGGCGGGTCGACCCACAGCCCTCGGATCGGGTTCTATAAGAATCGGCGATCTCTGCGCCGAGGAGGAGAGGGAATTGCTCGTGGAGCTGAAGGTGCCCGCCGCTTTAGCTGGGTCCCACCACGTTCTGACCGTACGATCATCCTACCGGGACCCACTAACTCAAGAGGCTGTGAATCCCGTTGAGCAAACAATGCTGGTTCCTCGTCCCCACACCGTACGATCATCGAATCCTAAGATAGAGCGGCTGAGGAACCTCCACGTCACGGCTCGAGCAGTAGCCGAGTCAAGCAGGCTGGCTGATCACTGCGATTTCTCAGGTGCTCGTCACTTGCTATCATCGGCTCGAGCTCTTCTGTTGCAGTCGAGCAAGCTGGCCGAAGAGCACTTGCGCTGGCTCGAAGCTGAACAAGCCGAACTTCAACGGCGCAGACAACAGAGTCAAAGGAACAATAGAAACAATCGCGCCGAAGAGAAGTTGGAGCCGCTTACGCCGACTTCGGCGTGGAGAGCCGCTGAGAGGCTTGCTAAAGTGGCTATCATGAGAAAGTCTATGAACAGAGTCAGTGATTTACATGGTTTTGAGAATGCCAGATTTTAGTTGTAATTTTATTTTATTTTATTGAAATATAATCTTGTACATAGAGGGGGAAAAATTATTAATAGAGAATTTTTTTCTTTTTTTAAGAAATTTAAACGAAAAAAAAATAGATGGCCCAGGCCGATGATAATAAGGACAAGAGATACCAGACGGATAGACCCTTTTCTGTATAGGAAAGGAACGGATAGCGAGTGATAGAAGAGTGAAAGTGAACCCCACATGAGTTGATTGGGCAGTGAGGCTCTGTTTCTTCTGTTTTGTCCTTTCCTACTTCCTCTTATAATTTTCGAAAATCCCAAAATTTTATGTATGCAAATAATCATGTCGATCCAAAAGGTGTGCAGGGAATAGTAATAGTGAGTAAATAAATCAATAGATTGAGAATATTGACGCGGTTGTTTTGCTTTTTTGTGCTCAATTGCCAATTAATAATAGCTGCGGTTGATGGGTCTAATCAACAGAATGTGAAATAAATTAGTAGTAGCAGTTTTTGTATGTTTGCGTGAGTTAATAGTTGGTCGGTTGGTTAAAGAAGCATATAAAGGTTGGATCTCATTACATATTAAGACAAAGGATAATACCAAGTGCTTTACTAGGTATTATAGGGCATAAACGTTTGATCCTCCTAAGAATTTAGGATGGAAGGGGGGGGTTTGTTTTTCATGTGAGATTTTGTTTGGTTATCTGACACTGCATCTGCATCCTATCATGGGAATTCCACACAGGTGAAAAAAGACCTTATCTAGATTTACCTTAGTGCTCTTCATGTGTAGCGCACTTGCTAGTGGGGTTTTGCTTCCACCGTGCCAAACAAGAACTTCCAAAATGTAGAGTTATGGTGAAAAAAGGATAATGATGATTGGGAGATACTACCCCACTAATTCCAAATTCAAAGAAGATATTCATTTTATTTTCCCCCCTTACAATCTGAAATATATACCTGCAATAGAGACGAGGGCAAATGCGGCCATGTTCTTTTCCACTCATTTTAATTTCCTCTTTAAAGAAAAAATCTATCACTAAAGTTTGTTAGGAGAAAAGTTTACAAGGAATTCGGTGAGAAAAAGAGGAGGATGGAAAAGAAAGCAGAGAATGTTAGGTACTATGAACTTGTGTATTTTAGTTCCATGTTTTATAACTCTATCTACCGAGCCGTGGAACCTTTTTCTCTTCACTCTTATATTTTATGCAGATGTTGAATATTATAGTTGGCTTATGCAAATGATGCATTTCATAGTTTGTTTTCATTTACCATAACTTTCAACGGAAATGCTTTCCTGGTTGTCAAGTTTGATTTTTGTTGGTTTGTGGCTAGTGCCAAGTGTCAGTCCTTTATGAAGAAAAAGATCAAGCATACAACAAATAAGTACGTCAAAACATCAACGGTTTTCTCTTTACTATTCTGTCAGCAACGAATTTATTTGGTGAATTGATGGGCGATTTTTGGGATCCCGATTTAGTGATTTATGAGGCAGATTCTAACCAAGCACCCACTAGTGATTTAAAAAAAATCTCATATGTTAATTTTGAAAATATCTTAAGTACTCTCGTAATATTGACTAGGTATATTTTTTATTAAATTTGATAGAAAATAATAAAATTAACTTTTTTTTTATTTTATTCACCTTTTATGATTATTGATACTTATGTCTTATCTTTTTCTATTTTTTTTGTAAAGGAGTACATACTCTATAGTATCAAAGATATACCCGTTAATTTCAATAAAAAAGGATTTATATTTCTGCAGCTGCTCTACGTGCAACAATCAAATATTTGCCATATATATACTTGAAAGCATTAAATGCGGGGAATCATAACCATACAAAGGATGAAAACATTAAATATAGGGATCCTTAACCATACACCTGTCGTTGTTGTAAGTAAAGCGGCTGCAAAAATAATTTTACCTTAATACAATATATATTTATGTTTTAAATTATTTATTTTAAAAAATTTAATAAAATTAATATTTTAATTTTATCTTTATCTCTCGTAAAATAAAATAAGAGAAAAGAATTAATAAAATTAAAAGAAAATTTAGTGATTTTTTTTTAAATTACTAAATTTTTATAAAATTTTAAATAAAAATAATTAAAAACAGAGTAATGGATAACGTTACTATGGTAGCAAGGAGATACTAAGAAACTTACTGTAACCATTGAATTATAATAAACTTTTGTACTTTTGTATTTCAGCACTCCCACATCCATCAATGATGTTACCTCTTTCTTTATAAAATGAGATGTATTTGAAAACGTAAAACATACGAGATAAAGGATATAAAAATGTCAAAGCAATAGATCTTCATTATCTATGTGTTAATATTGTATAAAATTTAATCAAAGACTATCAGTTGTGAATTTTATTTTATTTTGTTTAAATGCACTTTTCACTTAAAAGGATAAAAATCCTTCTCTCAACTATACTTGAATAGGGTGGAGCTGCATGGACTCTATAATTGGATCCACGGATTCTTAATATGAAAACGATCATTACTGCGGTGTAGGCATTTTACTTTTGTATGCTTTATCTTGAATATCCGCATTGGGCAAGGTAAAAGGAATTGCATCTCAACATCAACATCCTTATCTTAAACCAATATATTAGTTATCATGTAATTAATATTATAATGTAGCCTTTTTTCACATTGTAATGACCCTGCTCAACATCACCATCATTAGTTCTGGTTTCCCGGTGCTCACAAGCTATTGGTTCTAGCTAACAAAAAAAAAAAAACTTCACAAAAAATAAAAATAAAAATAACACTCATTCTCGTGATACAATAGAGTAACCTTATTATTTTATGAAGTTTAACTATGAATTACTGTTATTCTAAGATTTTTCTGCATTATCATTTAATTAATTAAATGTATTATCACCAAAAAAAAAACCTTTGGTATGGTTAAACTTTTCTGGTGACCTAATAAGGGATTTGCTTCTCTTCTTTTGCAGAAAATTGTTAAGCTTCCTGACACAAAGAAACAATGGGTCCCATCATTTTATAAAAGAAAAAGAAAAAAATGAGACACGATTTATTATGTTAGTACACGAAAAAAAATTCACATTCGTGCTACGTAAGAAAAAGTTTACCCATCTAATAATACATCATTAAATGATAAAAAAAAATATTCATCTGATTAAGTTATTTTTGTTTTTATTTTTTTATCATTTTTCCCTATTTGTGAAATGAAGCCCCTCTAATCTGTGCAATAAAGTTGGACCTTTTTATAACCTGAGTCACAAATTTGTGAAAGATAGAGAAGAGAGAACAGGTTTTTAGCTAGATATGAAGCTTAAATCTGCGTGAAATATAGAAAAAGGGAATGAGAAATTGACAATGAACTTCAAGCTTTGGAGTTTTAATCTTTTGGCTGGACCAGGGGCCGTTTCCTTCACTTTTGGAGGATACTGAGGAATTCCTTAATTTGCGCGCACTTTTAGAACCCTTTTCAAGTGGTGCTCATGAGTGGTTACCTTTACTTGCTACTTTTTAATTGTGCATCTCAAAGGAGGATTTTCTAATATGCAAATCCCAATAAAGGCACATTCTTAGTTTCTACATCTACGCATAAATTTTCACCACGAGGATGGTTCATACAAATAACACAAATGTTGGGATAGGTTGTTTCTTGGTGAGCAAATAATCGAACTCGTTTTTACTTTTGGAAGACAAATCAAGTTCAGCCTGTAAGATCCAAAACGAAGAGAAGTTGACCTAAATTTGCATGGATGAAATTCTTGTCAAATTTTCAAGAGAAAAGTTTACATACAAATAGATGCTCGTGAGGGGCTATTGGATGGTGTTTTCATATGCTATTTTTGACTTAGATTTCTTTCAGGTTTTAATTGATCCTCCCCTATATGTTTTGGTCTTCATGTGATCACCACCTTCAAAACTTGTCGTCGGGCCCAGGTTAAAGCACTTATATATTTCAAACACAGTCCTACTCCTAGATATATTATACTGCAATCCAACTTCCGTGTGGGTTTTTTTTTTTTGGGCTTTATCTTAGCACTGCAGATGTGTTAGGTTGGGGCTTGGGCCCTTATTAATTTGTACAAAATCGTTATAATAAAAAATGTCTCTTCAAAAAAAAAATTCTCAAATCCCTCAAGGTAGCTCAACCGACAAAGTTGAGCATCCAGGTTGATTGGTCCAGGGTTCGATCCATGGTCCAAGCAGGTCCAGGGTTCGATCCTTGGTCCAAGCAATTCTGGAATCCTTTGGGGGCCAGAAGGAAAAGGCTGGTAGTCGTACTCCAAGTACAAGGTGGCCGAAAGATCTTAAATGAAAATATTTCCACATTTTTATAAAAATAAAATAAAAATGTCTCAGTTTCTAATAAACTTTAAAAGTTGCATGGCATATAGTTTTAACGGAACAGTGACCAAAGTGCCACTATTGGCGTGGCAGTCTGGTAATTTTTTTTACCAACAGTGGCAAAATGATCACTATTCCTAGTTTTAACTGTAGGTGATCTTTTTCCCAGAAAATGGAAGACTAATTTAGCTGTAAAAAAATCACGAGGCGGAGGCATGGACTTTTTGCATTCATGAGATACCTCTACTTCACATTGGAACTATTTTATAACACAGCAAGAGAGGGGGAAATAGTTTCAAATGATCCATGAATGTCAAAAATATAGTTGCCTACACTCAGTTATAATTTTTATTGATAGGGCATGACATGCTCTTCAAACAGATGGGAGGAAGGCTAGCCCGTTGCAATAAAGCCGATCTCACACTCTATGATATGGGCTACAAGGTGGTTTTTTAACCGTTAATTATTGTACTTCACAGAAAAAAAAAAAACAATTTTGTGTAGTTTCGCAATCTCATATAGCGATTTATAAGAAAAAAAATAAAAAAAAAAGCGATAGAATCTGGTGAAATACACTATTCCAAGTTTTGGATTAGATACTATGTGAGAAGAGATTTACAAAGAAAACAGTGAATTCTGGTAAGATTCATTATTGTGCTTAACAGTAACATTTAACATTGCTCTCAATTCCTGAGCGTGAATTATTGGAAAATAAAAATACATT